GTTCCCTAATTAAACCGTATATAAAAAGAATAGGTTTGTCAAGTTTTCCAAGGCTACCCCTTTGCAGGCCCCGCCCCCCCCAGAATAGCAGGAAACCCCCCCCGATTAACAGGGTCCGGCCCGGGACCAGGGATTTGCAGGCCCTTGGCTTTGACCTAGAAAGCCCGAGGCTTTGAGAATATATCAGGAATAGAAGGACTTTCGATTGGAGAATATCAGAGATATAAGGAATGAGGGTTGGAGAATATATCAGAGAAATAAGGGTTTTCGATTGAAGAATATCCGAGATATAAGGAATGAGGATTGGAGAATATATCAGAGATATAAGGAATTTCGATTGGAGAATATCAGAGATATAAGGAATGAGGATTGGAGAATAGTTATATCAGAGACGGAAAACATGTTCATCACAGGCACATTTACATGCTTTCCCCATGCTGGCCTTGCTGATGGCTTCAGCAGAACTCAGCTCATCCCAATCGAACCATGAGTTTGATCGCTTGCTCAGCTCATTGTCTTCAGCAGCATCTAACTCGTCCCAATCGAAGAATGCAGAGGTCTTCAATTGCTCATGCTGGCGCTTGAGTCGTCGCTCCTTTTTCGCATGCGTCTTGAATGCCTTTCTCATGATGCTGCGAATCGCATGGTACTGCGAATGCCTTGTCAACTGCATGCTCAGAATGCTCTCATGCAGCCTCTGCCGCAAGCCCTCATCTCGAATGGGAGCTGGCATGATCTGAGGCATGGGCTCACTGCATGCTGCTTTCTTGTCTCTCACAACAGCATGCTTCTTCACTTCTCTCATGCCCTTGCTGCTGCGGCTCATGCTGTTGACATGCTCGTGCTGGTAAACATGCTGAGCAACCCCAGTCTTCTCTGACTCATCAGACCATGAGAACCTCCCCATGAAGGAAAAATCATGAAGCTCCCAAGGCTCATTCATCTCATTCCACCTGTTCTCCAGCTCATCCCAGTCGAAGAACATGTCGTTCAAAGCAATGAGCTCATCTTCATCCTCATCTGGTTGCGACAGGATGGCAAACCTGTTGTGGCATGTCACCTGCTCACGAAGACTGATGCTCCACACCATGGCGTGATACAGATGCACACTCACTTGAAAACCTATGTCATGAAAAAGGCACAATGTGAAACTTAATGAAACAAATGCCTAAAGCTCAAAATCACATTTTATCAAAAACTCATGCCCACAGCTCATCCACAATGCTTGTCATGCTCACAGCTGATCGAAAGCACTGCATGCAAGCGGTGTCATGCAGCTCATGCCCACAGCTCATCTAAGTCACTGCATTTGTGCGGCTTCATGCAGCTCATGCCCGCAGCAGTGTGTCAGGTTTGGGCTTTTAGGGTTTAGGGGTTATTTTCAAGGATTTATATAAGGTTTAGGGATTTAGGGTTTAGGGTTTAGCTACAAGGGTTTCAGGTTTAGGGTTTTAGGGTTTTAGGGTTTTAGGGTTTAATTGGTTAGAAGGCTTTAAGGTTTAGGGTTTTGGGGTTTAGGGTTTAGTTCGAAGGGTTTAAGGTTTAGGGTTTTAGGGTGTAGGGTTTATTTCGAAGGGTTTAAGGTTTAGGGTTTTAGGGTTTAGGGTTAAGTTAAAAGGGTTTAATTAAGGTTTAAGGTTGAGGGTCTAGGGTGTAGTTAAAGGGTTTAGGGATAAGGGCAGTATGGGGTTTGGAGTTTTGGCATTAACTACTTGGAGGATCATGGGACTTAGTAAGTAAGGTTATAAGTACCCTAGCTGGGGTTATAAGTATAGTTAATTACCCTAATTATAACCCTAGTTAATTACTAAGTCCCATGATCCTTTAAGTAAGGGCCCAACCCTCCCCATGTGTTTCGCTGCTCTCATGCGAAGATCAGAAAGCCATCCCCTCATCGCACCCATGAAAAATGCCATGCTGCTTCATGCATTGATTACTTACTCATGCGGCGCTATGCCGAGCTTAACCTGATCCTAAACCCTAAACCTTAATTAAACCCCAAACAAACCCAAAGACTAATCTTATCCCTAACTGAACTAATTAATGCAGCTCATGGCTGGCGTCATGGGTGCTTTTAAAAAAGCCCATCTCCTCATGGGATCTACAGCCTTATGGCTCATATACGAGCCCATCTCCTCATGGACTCATGGCCGGGCTGAGGGCTCATGCCTCCGCCTCAATGGGCATGAAATGCCCATGGAAGGACCGCATGATCGCTTTGGGCTCTGGCCCATGGGTCTCAACCCATGCTCTGAATTTGGCCGGCTCATGCTGGGAACGGCCCATGCCGTGCCAGCTTTTGATCAGCCAATGCTTGCCTCGGCTGAATCTTATTACTAGCTAACTAATAAAAAACCAGAACTTATTTCTCAATAATCTATTAACCGTAACAAATTATGGAAAATTGATACTTAAATTATTCCCTGAGCTGCCTCTCATGTCGCCCCACACAGTCTCCCATGATGCCAGCTCAAAGATCTCCGTCCTGAAAGGGGGGGGTTAATTGGGCCTTATGGGGTTTGGGCTCTAATTACTCTCAATTATGAAGGCTGTCCTCATGGCGGACTCCATGTTCTGCGTCACCTCGCTCATGACCATGTGCTTATCGCTGATCACATCATTGCGAGGATCATACAGCCTGGGTTTAGGGCTTAGGGTTTAATTATGTTAATTAAAGTAGGGGTTAAGTAGGGTTTACTTAGGAGGGTTTAATTAACCCTAATTAAACCTTAAACCCTAAACCCTAATCTAAAAAAACGAACTACTGCAGCATCCAGACTCATCGCTGTCATACTCATGGGTCCGGAACAATGCCAGGCTCACCTGCAGGGTTTAGGGTTTAGGGATAATTAGTTATGGTTGTGGGGTTAGGGTTTACAGGGGTTAGGGGGTTTTGTTTAGGGGTTTTTAGGGTTTCGGCAGGGGCCTCGACCCATGCCACCGTGCAAATGATGGGCCAATGGCGATGCAGCATGGGGTGGCTCATGACGATGTCGTACTCCTCATGCACGAACTCAAACCCCAAGCACTCCTAAACCCAATCCTAATTGCACCCTAAACCCTAATTAATTACTTATTATTTAAAAAACACTAATACCAGGCGAGGAGCATAGAGCATCCATGTGTGGAGGAGCTCATCTCTCATCCACTGATCGCAGCGCCATTCCCTCATGTATGGGCTTCAGAGCTTAAAATATGTAATTTACATTCTTATTATGACTAATTAATTACTACTGACGGTCCGAGCCACTGCCAATTGACCAAAACCCATGATCGCCCCGCCATGAGCCTGGTGGCAACATGGCGGAGGCGATCGCGAAAACTGCCATGGACTTCGTCCTTGGCTCAAGACAAATGTAATTAAACCTGTAATACCTCATTAACTAAATAATTTAAAACACAAAAGATGCTTACTTATCCGGCCCATGACGGCTCGCCGCTCCATGTTATGGAGCAACCCATGGATCTGACTCATCAGCTGGCCCATCCTCGGCTCCAAATAATTAATGAATTACTAATGACCCAATCCTAAGTAATTAACCAAGTAATTACTCACAATTGCCAATCATGCCCCAGTCTCTCAGCCATGGTTCCCATGGTTCCCTCGTTGCCGCTCATGTTGGAGCTCATGGCCAATGGGTGGGGATGCGGCGCTTATGCGGGCACTCTTGAGCTGATGGCAAGCTCATGGCCGGCCACATTTGAACCCCCAAACCCCTCAACCCCCTCAAGTCCTTGAACCCCTTCAAACCCCCAACCCCCTATTGTAATAATACTATACTACTGTACTGCTTCTATAGAAGCAGTACAGTAGTATAGTATTATTACAATAGTACTAGACTTCAATACTACTACTAAACTACTGTTCTACTATTATACTACTGTAATACTACTACTGTACTACTGTACTACTGTACTACTGTACTACTGTACTACTGTACTACTACTTAATCGGGGGGGGGCCGGTAAAAACTTGAACCCATGAACAAGTTCAAGCGGGCCAACCTTGGGGGGGGGGGGGGTTGTTAATCGGTATCCAACATTAATCTTTTTGGCTGTATAGGGATTATATAGGTACTATACTACCCAAAAAGGGTTAAAGGTTACCTAGGTTAAGGGTTTATTTTAATGTGCAGTAGTTTATGGTTTAGGGTCAGGGTTTAGGGTTAGGGGCGTCGGGGGTGTGGCTCTCCTTCTGGCACTTTGGGACTTTGCGAGGGTTTAGGGGGTAGGATTTAGGGTTTCGATATCTGTAAAGTTGACACGGGGCAGATTTGTGTGTGTTTGCGCGGCCTCCCAGCGCAGTCAGAGGATCCGGCGAATCCCGCTCAGAAAATGAAGCCCGAACCCCAAAACCGCAAAACCCTAAACCCAAAGCCCTAAAACCTTTAACCTTTGAGCCTTAAGCTCTTGGTCCGACGAAAGGAACTAAACCGGACATCAACACCCTAAGCTCGCAGTAAGTAGGCATCTTTAGGCAAGGCCAGACCTTAGTTAGAAAGTCTCATGATCCTGTAAGTAGGCCCCAAATCCTGAACCTGCATAGCCCTCCAAGGGACCCTTAAGCATTATAAACTTCCCCTCATAATGTCCCTATAGATCCCTTTAAAGGGGCCCTTAAGCCTTACTAAGTCCCATGATCCTCCGAAGTCTGTCTGGTTCTTAGTAGGGAATGGGGGAATGGATTCTGGAGACTATTGTTGAAGATTGCATAGGGACTACTATAGGGATCCATCCCCCAATTCCCTACCTTAAGGACGAAATTAACGCTAAAAGGGTTTGTGGTTCATATACCATATAGGGATTCATAGTACATGGGTAGAGGGCCCCTACTTTCAAGGGTCATTTGGTCCTTCAGGTACTAAGCGTAACTTTTTATATAGTGAACAAACATACCCCTTCTTAATCTACTAAAGAAGGATGAATAAGGCCGGCATCGGGGTACCATAATGAACAATTATTTCTGAACTCAGACAGAAGTAGACAGCTTTAGGCTGGGCCTTGGAATCGGCCAGAGACAGAGCGCCCTGGAAGGTCAACGGAGCCAGGATTCGGCTTAGTACGGCTTGAGGGCGCCTCTAAGGGATCTAAAGGGATATTATCAAGGTTTAGGGCAGGATTCGGCTGAGGGTGCAGGGTTTGGGGGTTTCAGGGTGATTTTATCAAGTTGGTCTGGCTTTTCAGTCTGCCTTTAAGGCTTATAGGGTTCAGGGTTTAGGGTCTAGGGTTCAGGATTTAGAGTGTAGGGTTAAGGTTTCGGTTTTAAGTTCGGGATCTTAACTTACTAAGTTTAGGGTGCAGGTTCCACGGCTTGGAATCTAAGACTTTGGGCTTACGCGTGAACAGTTCCAGGTTTCGGACGTGGACGAATCAGAGCTAAAAGCTTCGGTTCGTGATCGTCGTGTTTGAACTACTTGCAAAACTTCGCAGCACGTCCGCCAGTGATTTGCTAACGAACTTTTTTTTGAAGGCATCCGACCCGCTGCTACATGGCCAGGTTCTCACCTTGAAGACTTTAGCTGAGACTCAGGACACCCTACACCCGAAAACACCATACACACCCTAGATAGGAAGCAGGAGAAGGCACCACGTAGTCTCATACATTCTCATACAGACTACGTGCAAGATGATAGGTCCTTCGTGTTAAGACTAAGACCTTCTGGGACTCATGGCGGTTCGGAAGGGTAACCTCAGTTCTCCAAACTGGGACCATTTCGTGATACTCACAAGTACGACGATGTGACAATCTCCAGAAACTCACGCAAATAAAGTGCGGTTGCCCAGCTCCTTGACAGCTTGTCTATGCTATCTGAAACCCGGCATGCTGCCACAACTGGGACGGCTCCAACTTAAGCAAATGGCAATCGAAGGACAACAGATCACTGAAATTGAACTTGCACGTGCCTGTTAAACCCACACTCGCATACCATACCCTCATTTAAAGTTGCCTTTATAAAACTCGCATAAAGCTTGTTCTGAATCCTTCTGGCCCCCCTCTCGAGCCCCGGTAGAACCCCTGCAAAAGCCTTCCACGAAACATTGCGAAACCCACCTCGAGAAGGAGCATTCCTGGCAGGCCGGTGGCACCCAGACGCCTGGCGAAAGCGCTTGGGCAGGCTAGCCGGGTGTGAAACAGGAATCAAGGCCCTCTACCCTCGTCCTTCAACAGGAACGCTCAAAAAAGACCCTTTCCCACTTGGAGGTTCATGGGTAGTTATAAGTAGGGCTATGAGTAGCGTAACTATACTCATAACCCGTATTAGGGGACGTATAACCCTACTTGTAACTACCCCTGAACCTCCAAGCAGATCTGCTTAGTCTTTGTTAGCAAGCCTCTCAAAAGCAACCTAAACCCTAAACCCTAAACCCTAAACCCCTAAACCCTGACTCAAGATCGAAGGAACCGGGGCAATGAAGGTTTAAAGTAAAAGCCAGAAAGTTGGAAGAGGAGACTAGGGGACATAGGGATTGGGGGTATCGTGTTTATGGAGTCTACGGCTTATAGGTTACAGAGCATGGGACTGGCATAGCTTTGGGTTCATCTTGCACAAGCTTTCGTAGGTTTATATAAAAAAAAATTGGGGATTACAGGATCGCAAGGCCAGAGGGGTTGCGGTTTAGGCCTAGGTTTCTAGGGTTTAGGGACTACGTTCATGGTTTTGGGTCCAGGGCTTGGGTTTACAACCCTAAACCCTAAATCAGTGATCTCGGCCAGTCCTGGGCTAAGAGCTAGCTTGGCCTGATATGTAGTAGGCCATGAAGCAAAAACAATCGAAAAGCCAGAAATCAGGCCGACAAGCACCAAAACAAACAACCCAACGCACGTTAACAAAAACACAGAACCCTTGTAGGCCCTCGTGTTAGTTATGACTTAACGCCAAGCCTGAAACACCCCGAAACCCATAAAACCGGGCGCCTGATTTGGCGCAGGTGGTCTCCCTTTGCCGACCTCCACGAGACGCTATAAAAACAGACCGGTTTTTGTCGGAAAGCTACAAGGCTCTAAGTCCATCCTACTATTTAGGGTTAACGGTTCACAATTTTCGGAAGCTCCCTTATAGGGCTCTAAGTCTATCATGGCTGAAAATTCTAGGGTTCTGAAGGGGTGTTGTTCGGTTGAACTTTTAGGTTACAGGGCTCAAGGTTTCAACTCAAGGCTCAAGGCCTGGGGGATCGCACCACTGAGCACCCGGGGAGGTGCTAGTACCTGGGCTCCGACCATTGGCGTTTAGGCTCGTTTTAAAGCTGACTGCTCAGGAGTCAAAGCGCTTTGGGTTTAGTCTTCCCAGAGACTCCAAACCCCCTTAAATAAGGAATATTCCGTAAATTATAGTAGGATCCCAAAAATGAATTAAGGAATATTCCTTGATTAAGGGAGATTGGAGTCTCTGGGTTTAGGGATTTGTGGGCTAAATACATAGGTAAGTCCATGGAGGACAAGGTACCTGGACTTGTGCAGGAGGGGTTCCATGGAGAAGGCTTAGAGTGAGTGCACCCCACCAGGCACCTGGTGTTGGCATGCATGCATGGATGTATGTATGCAGGTCGGCAGGCAAGTAGGTATATAGGTAGGTAGGTAGTTAGATCGTACTATCCCCCCTTAGAACCATCATAAAAAAGATATGTTTAATGTTCTCTTGGGCTTTATATGAACAAAAATAGAAAACAATTCCTGAGGAGACTATAGAGTGAGGTACTTAGGTAGTTAGGGAGGGAGGGAGGTTGGTAAGCAGGCAGGGAGGAGTAGGTAATATAGGGCCCTTAACAATTAGAATAGGGCTTTGGGGCCCACTTGTACTATCTTTATGATAAGGACAATAGGTAGTTCTTGAGGCCCCTATATTAGGTCGGTCGGTCGTCGGCCCCCCGAGGCCTTGACACCAGGTCTCGCACCGTCTTCCGCCTGGGCTCTTGTTGATGAGGCTTAAGCGTTTAGGGCTTAAGGGTTTAAGGTTTAGGGTTTAGGGGTTTAAGGTTTAGGGGTTTCGGATTTATGAGTTTAAGGGTTTAGGGAGTGAGGGTTTAAGGGTTTAGGGGTTCAAGGTTTAGGGGTTTAGGGGAATTCGGATTCAGGGTTTAGAGGTGTCGATAATCAGACGTGTTCTCAGTTTGTTCTTGTGCTTTTGAGCTGTACCAGCGGATTATAGATCGTTAAGGAGCTCAGTCTATGTTACCACTTTGGGAAAAGTATCTTCTTTATTCCGTTTGTTGCGGTGTATAACCTACCCAGAAGCCCCAAAGTAGTTCCTTTTGGGGGTTCATATTTAAAACTTTATAAGGTAACCCCAAAAAGGAACTACTTTGGGGCCTCAGGGTATACTAGGCTCCAGAGAAGCCTGAAACCTTGTCACCACTTAAGCACTGGGCTCCGGAGAAACCTGAAACATGTTCAACCACTAAAACCCTAAACCCCAAAACCACTAAAACCCTAAACCCTAAACCCATTAAGCCCTAAACCCTAAACCCTAAACCCACTAAACCCTAAACCCTAAACCCACTAAACTCTAAACCTTAAGAAACCCATAGAAAAGCTATTTCTATGAGCCCAGCCGCTCCACACAGGCTCCAAATGCTGTCTCACCCTTCCGCCAGAGGTAATCGCCGAGCTTCCTAGGAAGAGGAGACCAGTAATAGTAATATAGCGGCCTTAAAGACTAGAATAGGGTTTTGGGTTTAGGGTTTAGGGTTTAATCGCCGAGCTTCCTGGGAAGAGGAGACCAGTAATGGTAATACAGCGGCCTCAATAGGGTGTTGGGGCCCAGTATACCATAGTTACCATAAGGAACACCCAACATAATACCGGCAATTATTGAGGCCCCTACATTCGGTCCAAACACAAACCTCAGGGTTTGGAGCTTGGAGGTTTAGATGTGGAGTTTTAACGGCTGGGGCTTAGGGCCTGGGGACTTTTTCGATCTCACTGGGCACGTTGAGGGGTACCCTCGTAGTCCAAAGCACACACAGAGACACATACATGGGTAGTTTTCAAAGTTAAGCTGCCGTTTTGGGTACCCTAAATATTAGGTGCCGTATTCTACTAAGGACCCACAAAGGGACCATAATTTTGACAACCACATCAAGAGACTTTGAGGCCTCTCCAGGTCCGAAAGACAACCGGGGCCTCAATACGTAGAAGTTGGCCTCGGGGCGTGTAACCATGCGGGGTCCTTATAATAAGGATCCTATAATAGTACTTACTGTACCGTATTAGGGTCCCCTATTTTCGGAAACTCCCACTTGACCGCTCATGTGAGACATTTTGTGACTCATATCAGGCACTACAAGGGGATAAGGTTACTTATATCAGGAAGAACAAGGGGATGTTTAACACTAAACTGAAACCCTAAACCCTGAACCCTAAACTCAATCCCTAAACCCCTAAGCCTAAACTCTACACTCAAACCCCTAAACCCTAAGCTCTAAACTCAAACCCTGAAACCAAAGGTTACCCACTCAGCTACTAAACCCAAACCGTGGCTATTCCGACCCCTATACTGCAAAAGCCCGGGCCACAGGGTTTCAAAGAGGACTTCCGCCGAGCCCTCCAGCTGACATTGGAGCTCCTACGCACGGTTTAGGGTTTAGGGTTTGGGGTTTAGGGCCCCTTCATCTGTCCGGTGCTTGAATAAGGGAATGGATTATGGAGACTATTCTTGGGGTTTATTTACGGTTGATGATATAAATCCTGCATTATCCGTAATAGGGAACATACCATAATTCCCATAGTCTAGGGTCCTTAAGGTAATGCAGGATTTATATCATCCACCGTCTGTCCGGTTCTTGAATGGGGGGAATGGATGAAGGGAGACGATTCTTGCGGATGAGATAGGGACTACTATTCCCTACTAAGCACCAGACAGTCAGAAGGCCTTTGGGTTTGGAGTTTGCCGGGTTTTTTTGTTGATATCCTTTTTGCACCTGCCTGATCCTAGCAAGCAAACCCAAGGTGCACATGCAGCAGGAGGCCCACACCGAGTGTTATCGGATTAGGGTCGACGGTTGTAGGCCGATACGAAATTCGAAACGGGCACTTTATGAGCAAACCTTAAGCCCTACAGCCCAATTCCTAATTCCGCATAAGGGTCCAATACTCATTGACTGAAGACTATCACTTAAGCCATAAGATACCGCCTGGGTAAGGGGTTACTTAAAAGATCATGGGACTTAGTAAGTATGGTTATAAGTACCTTGACTGGGGTAATAAGTAGCTAGAAGTATAGTTACCCTAGTAATAACCTTAGTTACTAAGTCCCATGATCCTTTAAGTACCCTACACCCTGAGCAGGAAACTTCCTGAACAACCTTAAAGGCCTTGCAAAACCAGTTGACACCCCCAAACGCCTCTGAAACCCTTTCTAACAAGCACTGTAAACCTAAATACACTGTAAACCCTAAACCCAAGACCCCAAACCCTGAACACTAAAACCTGAAACTCCTAAACCCTCGCCCTAAACCCCTGAAGCTCTAAACCCCTAAAACCTGAACCCGTAAACTCCTAAACCCCAAATCCCTCCTAAACCCTAAACCCTAAACCCTAAACCCCATCATGTCGAGACCTCAAAGATTTCTCGCGGCGCCCCATTGCGCTGCCGTTCGCGGAGATCCACCACCAGGGAGATTTCCTCCCTTGGCGCGTGGGTTTAGTGTTTACGGTTTGATGCTTAGCAGGGCTTCACGGTTTGGGCTTTTTGTGGGGCTTATGGCTTAAGGCTGGGGTGCTTGTTAGGGTGCTACGCACGAGGAGTTTGCTACCGCCAGTTTAAAACTAAACCCTGCCTAAACCCAAAACCCTTAATCCAAACTCCAAAGTCCCGAAACCCAAAATCCTGAACCCAAAACCCAAAAATCCTAAACCTTACATTCCACAGCCCTCAAACTCGAGGAGACGGATGTGGTCGTACGATCTCAGCCAGTGGACGGATCATCGAACACTTGTGCAAATCGCCAGAAGTTCGAGACTTTGTCGACTTTAGGAAGCTTGAATTCCCATCCCAGCCCTGCGAAGCACACAGAAAGTCAGTGGTATGATACAGAATGTTTTCCAGAATGTCCGTTGACAACGGATTCAGGTTGAGAGATTCCGCAATTTTGGGTGACTGTAGTAAGAAAACTCATGCGGCACCACACCTCTAAGCAAGAAAAGCCGAGCGTCGTCGCCTCTGCTTGTCCAGGACCCTGAGAGTCGTCCGAGATGTCAAGATCCACCTCAACGCCCATGTAAGCCCAAAGCCCATCGCTCTAAACCTGAAGTCTTAAACCCTAAACTAAAATCCAAACCCTAGACCCTGGAACCCCAAAGCCGCAACCCTAAACCGAATCCACTTTTCCTCAAGTGGCCGGGCCCCTTGCCGGAACGGCGGAGAGTCGCCGCGCAAAGCGGCCGGGCGAAGCCACAGACGCCTGGGAGTGCATCTGAACCGAGCCCATGGGTTTCCATAAAGGTTGCTCAGGGGCTCTACAAGGGTTCTGTAAGAGCTCTATCACTGTTCTAAAAGGGTCCAGAGCCATTATAGAACCCCGATACAACACTCAGAGAACCCTTCATTCTGGAAAGGGCTTCATAAGGGTTCTTTAGGGGTTTAGGTAAAGCAAGGGTAACTCTTAGTAGTATCGGTAACGGTAAATAGGTTGGAGGCGGCTGCGGCTCTGGATTGGCGGCTTTCTCGTCTTGTGCTTTCCTACACCCAAACACCCCAATATCACTCAGTTAAGGAATATCCCTTAAATCATATTCAGGATCCTACTTTAATTTAAGGTACATTCCTGAATTGCGGGATATTGGAGTCTTTGGGCAACAGCACTTGTAGGCTTGCTGCGCTTAAAACCTAGTACAAGTACCTGGAGAAGTAGCTTTGGTGATTCGGCTCGCTGTCTTGTAGTTGCCGTATACTAGAGAACCAAACCTCGAGTGTCGGACTTTGGGACGGACAGAAGCCGGAAAGACCCGAATCCCTAAACACTAGACCCTAGACCCCAAACCTTAAACCCTATCCTCAAGGCCTACATGATCCGACCAGACCTCTAACGCCCTCAACGCGAAACCTCATGTCATAAACCCTAAAACCGATACCCGAAACTCTGAATCCTACAGGCTGTAGGGCTCATATCACAATCCACCCCTTCCCCGGCCCCCCCAAAAAGCCCCGAATCTTAAGAAGTAGAGGGCTCTGCCTCGTCCGTGGCCTTCGCCTGCATCTCCTCAAGGGACGCCCGCTTGGCTGCCTGAGGATTCAAGGGTCCGGCCTGTTCAGGCCGCAGCGCTTCATGGGTTTGGATTTAGGGTTTAAGGTGTTTCGGGTTTAGTCAGGGTTTGGGGTTATGCGGGAACTCCGTATGACAAGACCCTCCGGCACCTTCAGCTCCTCATCCTCGCTGTCACTCGAGTCACTCGAGGACGAGGACGAGCTTGAGCCTCTGACGGGCTGGGGTTTGCGGATTATCAGGGTTAGTTGAAGGCGTATGTACCATGCGTCGAAGGCTGAATGACAAGGGTTCTAAAAGGATTCCATAAGGGATCTAGAAGCTTTGAAAAGGGGGCTTCGGTTTAGGGTTCAGGGCTGCGCGGCAGCTCCTGCTTCAGGATGTCACAAGCATAAAGAGGCCTCGGCCCTTGCAAGGGGCCGACACAAGCGTGGTCCTTTCTTCTTGGTCTGAGACTTCTGACGAAGTAGCGAAGTACCCAGAATCGTAAAATTTCACGGCCTGGTCTGCGGAGAATGTTTATGCCTTTACCGTTTCATGTTAGCTAACTAACTATCGGAGCAGTACCAGGAGCGCCCTGCTCGCTAGGATTCTACACTCTACAGAGCAAAGCGGCCCTCTATTCCAATGAATGAGTCAAAACTTTCGTCCTACCGCAGTATATCCTCAACCTCAGCTCCTTTCCGCCCCTACTGCTCTCCTCCTATAATATCCTGACAACTAGTTCTTAATGAGAAATCTTGCACCTTTATTTCCCAAGTTTGCGCCCAGAAGCTGGAAGAACTCACCTCTGCCACAGAGCTGTTTCCGGCGATTGACGGAGCAGCCGAGGTCTTCGGGACGACCTCTTGGAGGTTCAGGGATACTTACAAATGGGGGTATAAGTCCCCTAATATGGGTTGTAAGTATAGTTACCCTACTTATAACTCTACTTATAACTAGCCATGAACCTCCGAGCTCCCGTGGCTGAGGTCAGAACTTGTCTGGTATTGTACTATGGGGGGAGCGGGGGGGGGGGGTCTTGACAAATAGAATAGGGTTTTTGGCTTTGGGGTATATTATCGTACACTTATGAAGGCTTCTATTGTGGGTTAGAAGGGTTTGTATTTAGGAGGGTTTTGACTGCTTGGGGGTCAGAGCTGTGGGATCATCACCATTACTCGTCATTGTTATCACAACTTTCGTTATTGTTACTAGAATACTGTTACTTCTACCATTACTACTCCTATTACAACCACTATTATTCTTATTATTATCGCCATTTTTATTATAGTATGTCATGATTAGCAAAGCTGCGGGGTTCGGCTTCGCCCTCTTCCGCGCCAGCTCTGGCCGCACGACGGAAAGGCGCCTCTCACAGAGACCCAGAGGCTCCAATATCCCTTATATAAGGAATACCTAGAGCTCCTTGAAGGGATCCTCTAAAGGGATCCATAGGGGGCAGGGTGGAGGGGACTCCAATATCCCTTAAATACGGAATGTTCCTGAAATCATATTCGGGATCCTACTGTAATTTAGCGTATATGCCGTAATTAAGGGAATATTGGAGTCTGTGGGCACAGAGAGGCCGTTGCGGCTCGGAGCTCTGTACTTGGTTTAGAGTTTAGGGTTTATGGGTTTAGGGGTTTAGGGTTTAGTGGTTTAAGGGGTTAAGGGGTTTAGGGGTTTAGGGTTCAGGGCTTTAAGGGGTTGAGGGGTTAGGGGTTTAGGGGTTTAGGGCTTCGGGTTCAGGGGTATAGGGTTTAGGGTTTAGGGGCTTAGGCTTTAGGGGGGTTTATGCAGGGGCTGAGGGTTTTGGGAACTCGGGACTTAGTAAGTAGGTCATAGGTAGAGTTCTATAAAGGTTCCACAAGTGGTCTGTAAGGACTCCCTTGTAAAGGTTATAGGGCCATGGGGGTCCTACAAGTCCTCGATGGTTACTAGACCTATATAGACTTATAACTATACTTGGAACCCCAAGTAAGGTACTTACAACCATAGGTACCAAGTCCCATGAACCTCCAAGTAAGGGCTTTTTGTAAGAATTCCTATGCGGACTCCTACAAGGGTTCTTGTAAGAGTTCGATTCGGGCTCTATGTGCTTATGGCTCTATCAGGGCTTTGCCAAGGGCTCTTTCAAGACATCACAAAAACTCCGTAAGGGATCTATGAGGGCTTTATGAAGACAGAAGGGGTTCTCTAAAGGCTTTACCAGGGCTCTGTAACGGGGGAGTCTTGGCAGGATAAGAGTCCTATATCTCTGTACCGGTTGTTGTACAGCGTTCTGTAGGGGGTCTGCGAAGTATGAAGGTTCTAAGCGGTCTGGGCCCATAAAGGTTCTCTATTTGGAGGTTCATGCGTAGTTATAAGTAGGGTTATAAGTAGGGTAGCTATACTTATAACCCATGCTAGGCGACTTATAGCCCTACTTATAACTACCCCTGAACCTTCAAGTAAGGATGCCGGAGGGGTTGTAAAGGTGCTACGAGGGTTCGCAAGGGTTTGAGGTTCTTAAGTCTAGGGTTCTGTGAAAGATGACGATTCCACTGGGTTCCTATAAGGGCTTTGTTCTCTTAGGTTTCTTGCAGAGTTCGGGTTTCCCAAGTCGCCAAACTCCCGTATCGAACGCAATCATTGAAGGCTCAGGGCTGAGGGTTAAATGTAGAAACCTGTTTAAGCAACCTTGGGCCTTTATTCGGGTTCCTTGTATGAGTCCTACTATTTTGGGGGTATAGGGCCAGGGTTTCTTAATCAGGTTCCTACATTAGGGTTCATGGGACGTTGCAACTGTCCAAGAAAACCGTCAACAAGTTTTAGCTCCTTAATTGCCTCAGCCAACCTCCAAACTGATACGCATGCGGTAATGCAAGTGCGTATGCTCTACGATACAGCGCCCCAGATTCTGTCTGCACTGTCGCTCTGGAGTGCATTATATACACACTAACTACCTGTGTGAAATACATGGCTCATCGCAGCTGTCAACGATAAGATGTTCTTCAACATGATAAAGCCCGAATCCCAACTCTCAAACCCTAAAACTGGTTGCACGGTCTGGACAGGGTTGCGGCTATCACTGAACCGTCACCTCTGAACCCTAATACCCTGGACCTACAGACTCGACGTTTTCTTAAATCGGGGCCCCTTATGCGGGATGCTTGCTCGGATGGACAAACAAAACCTTTGCACTGTCCATAAAGATTCAGTATGCGCAAAATTGCCCTGTTTTCTGCAAGGTAGGGTGCTGCTTGAGGCAATGCAAGATTTTCGTAAGCCAGCAGGAAACTACTAAAACCTGAACCTGAACACCGAACCCTGGATCCTGTATATCCTCAATCCTAAGGCCCTTAACCTCAGAGGTTTGGGAATCTTCGGATACTACAGCCCATACCTTGCAATATCCTTTAAGCAACAAATATTTTTCAAACCATATTGGGGATCCTACTATATTTTAAAGTATTTTCCTAGTATATTCCCTGACTAAGGGATATTGCAAGCCCTAAACCCTAAACCCTAAAAACCCAATTTTCCAATAAACCCAAAACCCTAAACCAAGGTCTGGGAAGGGGCGGCCTTTCCGCTGCCGCAGCTGCTGCCTCTTTGGCGCCTGCTCGGCGATCGTGCTGCCAGGCTGCGGTTTCGGGGATGTTTACTTGGAGGTTCAGTAGTTATAAGTAGGGTTATAAGTCCCCTAATGTAAGTCATAAGTATAGTTGCCCTACTTAAAACCCTAACTTGTAACTACCCATGAAGCTCCAAGCGAGCATTGCTTACAGGATCATGGGACTTAGTAACCAAGGTGAGTATAAATTAGGGTAGCCATACTTATGAATACTTTTAACCCCAAATAAGGTACTTATAACCATACCTACTAGGTCCCGTGATCCTCCAAGTAGGGCTTCGGGATACCTGGGGCTTAGGGTCTTATTCGGGGGTCGGGGTTTGGGGTTTTTTTGTGCTTGGGACTTCAGGGCTTCAGTGTTTCGGGATGCAGGAATTTGGGTTTAGGGTTTAGGGTTTAGGGTTTAGGGTTTAGGGTTTAGGGTTTAGGGTTTAGGGTTTAGGGTTTAGGGTTTTGGGATGTTTAGGGTTTAGGGTTTAGGGTGTGATTTCCAAATCTGCCAGAAGTAGACCCTTTCTCTGACCAAGCTGGAAACGCTGTTGCCATAAACCTCACAACCCCGAGAACCCTGAACCGTAAACCTCTCCTTCAACCCGTTCAGAAACCTCGCAAACCTAAACCTTGCAGCCCCGGCACCTTCTAGCCCTAAACCCCGGCAGTCAAGATCACGTACCTTTATATACAATCATAAAATCGCAGAATTCTGTTTATTCCAAGCTACAAGTACTACTTTTTTAGCTCTAAACTCCAAACCCTGAAACCCTAGACAACCTTAAACCCCTCCGAAACCTGAAACCCTCAAAAAAAAAAGTAAACCCCTCGTAAAGCCCTGAACCCTAACCCGAAACCTAATGCTTGGAGGTTCGTGGGTAGCTATAAGGAGGTTTATACGTTAATTTGGGCTATAAGTATAGTTATCCTACTTATATCCCAACATATAACTAACCCTAAACCCTAAACCCTAAACCCAACCCTAAACTCTAAACCCTAAACAAAAACCCACAAGCCTCCCTCCAGTGGGCGTTTGCCACCCAGCCGCCGGCCCGGTCCCAGAGGCTCCGAAGGCTCCGCTTCAACCGGCCCTTGCACTGGTTCGGGTCCAAGGTTCAGGGCTTCTGGGATTTGGGTTTAGGGTTTAGAGTACGGGGATTTGGGTTTAGGGCTTTTGGGATTTGGGCTTAGGGCTCCTAGAGTTTAGGGTTTTGGTTTTAAACAACCCTGGGGCTTCGGGCTTCTAGTCTTTAGGTCTTAGGGCTTCGAGGGTTTCAGGGCTCCTTTGCTTTAGGTTTTAGGGCTTCGCATGCGGCTTAGGGTTCAGCATGAAAGGTCGTTCGGTTTTTGGGTTTAGGGTTGTCTGATAAGTGGGTTGCGGGATAGGTCGAGGAGATGTGCCGGTTTCTGCTGTAAGGAATTCTGCAGTATTTCACAACGCTGCGGATGTTGGTAAAGGATCTTGAATTGCAGGTGTTTGTGAAAAGGCATTGCCAAAAAAATCAGGTAGTTACGCTACACGCTAAACCCTAGCCGCCAAGCTGTGGGAGGCAGGGGGGTGCGCGACCTCCGGATTCTCCGGGTGTTGAGGGATCTCGAGGCATTCGAGGCTTACAAGCTGTAGTATAGCGGGGTGCATCTGGATAGGCGGTATTCAATCTTTCGAGTTCTTCGCTACGTGTGCAAAACCACATTTTCCTTTCCTCCGAAACAGCATCTCAAAACCCTAAACCTGTGCTGCGCACAACTCCACTCTGGATCATCCGGCTCTCATACCATGCCTGTTGCGACTCAGGCCGCGCTACCAAAGAGCGTAGCCCCAAATACAAGACCATAAACGCTACATCCAAAATTGAATTCCAATAGAAAGTTGCCCCTGGAACAGGCAGCTACAAGTCTCAGCAACTCAACCTGAAACCCTAATAATGGAGCCCAAAAGCCCGTTTACTCTCAAACCTTCAAGCCCAAACCCTAAACCCCTGAGATCTTATTTGGGAAACAAATACCAACTACTTCCGCTAGCCCGACTTCCCTCTCTACCCCCACCCCAAACTCTAAAACCGCAGAACAAGCCAGGTTCCAAACCTCAAACCTCACCTAAACCTTAAACCTAAACACAAAACCCTAAACCCTAATCCTAAACGCAAAAACTGAAAACAGCTGGCCTGGAAAGGCGGGCTGGGACAGAAAGCCCATCGCTGCCGGGAGACCCGGAATCCCGAGGCTTTCCATGGAGCCTCTCAGCTTCTAGGGATTTTTAGGGATAAGGGTTTAGGGTTTAGGGGCTTCGCAGCTAAGGGATACTAGCAAGCCTTGTTGTGGTTTGGGGTACTTCGGGTAAGTCGTGGATCACTGGTGTTCGCGACGAAGGCCTTGGAATTGGGGCTTTCGGGGTTGTGCATGCGGAGCTGTGGGCTATAGGGTATAATCCTCAGCCAAAATCCTAAAACCTTAACCCTAAACCTTAAACCCTCAATCCTAAACCCTACACCCTAAACCATGCTATAGACTAGAGATTAAGGCTCCAGGGGTTCCAGGGCTCCGGCTCTGAATTTCAGAGCTCCCAGCTCAGCCCGGCACTGCCAGAATTAAAGCAGCTCAGGGTTTACCGTAAAGTTTAAAAGTTCAGGGCCTAGATTTTATAGGATTTAGGGTTTAAGGTTTACGCTTTAGGGTGTTTTGTTCTAGGGTTGGGTTTTCGGGTAAAGTTTAGGGTTCGCTATGGTTCGGTATATGGTTGCGGGTTTAGGACCGGCATGGTTGGGTGTAGACTTCTTCACGGGTCCCTTACTCGATCTTTGGAGTGTTCTAGGGCTGTTCTACAAGGTCATAGACAGTGAAACGGGTGGGCGGCTATGGCATTAGGATTTAGGCTCAAGATTCAGTACGCAACTAGTCAATGTGCAGTTTTGGGATTTGGGTGGCTAGTGTTCCTTAAGGTGGCGAATCATACGTCCCCATTTTCAAAACCTTCATGACAAGGGTGAGGTGGGGGTGGGTATAAGAAATTATGGGCATAGGTTTCAGGGCAGAGGGCTGAAAGTCTAGGCTTCAAGGTTGTTTAACACTACTTTGGAGTCGGTGCAGACACGTATGCATGTGTATGTGTACATACATATTCAGATGTATGCACAGTATATTGGGCATTGTAGTGTCTCGGTCTAGCATATATATGTACAAATATACACACAGAGAGATGCAGATATATCATGGAGAGAGAGAGAGAGAGAGAGAGAGAGAGAGAGAGAGAGAGAGAGAGAGAGAAGCAAACCCTGCTGTAAACCCCTAATTGAACCCTCAACCTTTCTCACATTGGCGCGCAGACCGACTCCCAGTTGGCATTCGATGGATCCACCGCTTCCGCGCCTCTTTCTCCTGAGGGGTCATTTTCTTATGAGTCTTCTTCATTGCCAGAACTTCTCTGGCCCTGGCCACCTCAGCGTCCTTCCGCTCCTTGTCCGCTTTCTTGCGGGCGTGCTCTGCGGCTTGTTTTTGCCGCAAACGCGTCACATGGAGATTCTGCGGGCGGAATGACACAGGGTGGCCTTTGCTGGACCTCACCACTGGCTCCGGCGCCGCTTTGTGGAGGACGCCATCCTTGCTGCTGCTCGCCTTGCTCCCCGTTTCTCGCACGTCCGGGCTTGGTGGGCGTACACCGGCCGAGCAAGGCAGCACTCCGAACACGGGCCGACGGGATTTCCTGGCCTGCTCTGTAGCAGACCAGTCGCCCCAGTCATTGTCGGACCCCAGCCTCCATGCTCGCTACAAACTCGAAAGAAAACGGCTTCAGCACGAAGTCGGTGACGCAACCTCTTGCATATTCAGTTGCAGTGTCTGAGTGAGGCGAAAACCAACTGCATGCACCCAGCCTTCGAGCGCGGGTCACACCAGTTGGCGCAACTGCGGTGATGGGACTTCAAATTTGAGCCGATCACGGAACGACAAACGCCTTGCAGCGCAGGATCGCACCTTCGATTTGCTGGTTCATAGCAAGCTCAAAAACTTGTTCCGACGTTATGTCACGTTCGGGACAACACAAAAGATGACAGACATGCATGACAAATGAAACATTTGTTTTCCTGGGTTACGAAATTCTATGGGTGGCTGGGCGTTATATCAGCAGCGTGGAAATAACTTTCCCGCACTATTGCTCGATCCGGTAGCTCACAGTAGTCTCTAAAGCCTCAAAGGTGTAACCGCAAAATTGAAAATTTCTCCGTCTTCAGCAGAACCCGTAAGTCGCAATGGTCTCTAAAGCCTCAAAGGGCTAGCCGCAAAGAAAATTTCTCGGTCTTCAGCACAGCCCGTAGCTCACTGTAGTCTCAAAGCCTCAAAGCTCTAAGCGCAAAAGTTGAAATTTCTCGGTCGTCAACAGAGCCCGTAGCTCACAATAGTCTCTGAAGCCCCAAAATGCTAACCGCAAAAATTGAAAATTTCTCGGCTTTCAAGAGAGCCCGTAGCTCACAGTAGTCTCTCAAGCCTCAAAGGTCTAACTGCAAAATTGAAAATTTCTCGGTCTTCAGCAGAGCCCGTAACTCACAGTAGTCTCTGAAGCCTCAAGAGTCCCACCGCAAGGAAAGTTTGTCGGTCTTCAGCAGAGCCCGTAGCTCCCAGTAGGTGTAAAGCTTCAGAGGGCTGACCTTGCAAATATCTCGGTCTTGAGCACAGCCCGTAGGTCACAGTAGTCTCTACAGTCTCCAAAGTCTAGCCGCAAAAATTGAAAATTTCGCGGTCTTCAGCAGAGCTCGTAGCTCACAGCAGTCTCTAAAGGCTCAAAGGTGCTACTACGCAGCAGCTTTAGTCCCCGCTTCAGTCTGCTAGCGCGCATTAGAGACTCCTGGAACTCGTAAGGTTTGTGGTGAAGATTCGTCACGGTCGCCACTGCAGATCCATCGTTTCCTTCGCAAGCCCACGGAACACGATGCACAGCAGTGGACACAGTCCGATGTGGAAACCTTGGAAGATATGAAATCGCCCCAGCGCAAAGCAGGCTGGACGGTCATCGCAAAGAAACTCAGACATGTGCAGTTCCTGAACTCGCGACGTATTGGCTGGCTGCAGCGGGTGGGGCCTTCCCCGGGTCGAGCAGCACTCGAAAGTTGCCTAACATGCCACTAACAAACTGTCTTTAATTGCAGGCATAAGACGCGGGTTGAACGAGCCCTGTGGCGGATTGTTCTCTCGCCTCTACCGAGCCTTCATGGTGAGCTGATGTTATGACCACAAGAACCTTTCCCTTCGCTCCAATTTCGTACGTTAGTCATGTGCTCGCGCGCCGAAGCAGCTGGCTTCGGCAATTTGCTGACTTCCAATCGCCTTCGCCAAACGATGTTCTTGGAATACAAACAGTTAGCGTCATGACCATCATCTCGCATCTGCGAAGCCTTCATCAGGAGCAGGAGCTGCTGTTCTCAACAAAATAAGCTTCTTTTCGCTCCGATTGGCTTCGACAGCAGGAGCATCTTCGGGTCGTAGTCGCCGCCGCGGCGATGAGAGACTGTGACTGGCTTGTATGGCTGAACAATATCTTCCTTTGTTTTAAACGCTTGCGGACTTAAGCTAAGGACAATTGCTCCGGGTGGGTTGTGGTGGGATACATATCGAGGTCCACGGGCGTGACGAACTCTCTTACCCAAAAAATCTCCGACTTCCGTCACACATACTTTTTACCGCAAGACTTTGGTCGACACACCCTAAACCCCTAAACCCCTAAACCCCTAAACCCCTAAACCCTAAAACCCTAAACCCTGAACCCTACTCCCGCCTGGGGTGGGTTCCGATGAGAACACCTTGGCATCCGAAGGCCCAACTTTGGTGACGACGAGGACGCGGTGCCTTGGTTCAGGCTTTCGTGTTTAGTGCCAGTTCGAGGTTCAGGGCTTCGGGGATTAGGAGTTTAGGGTTTTCGGGTTTAGTTCAGCGTTCAGGGGTTTAGGGTTCAGGGCCTAAGGGTCCATGCACTTAGTGTCTATTGCTGCATGATGAGGGCGTAAGCAGAGCAATCCGGATGAAGAAGCTTTGGTTTGCGTAAACCCCATACAACAGCCACGTGGCTTAACCCTCAACGCAAAATCCTACACCCTCCCTGGGGCATGGGCAGGCTTGCCTGCCACGATACCGGCCGTCTCCATGCGAGCTGTGGCGCAAAGGCCCATATTCCCCAGACATGTTCCTGAGGAGGCACAGTCAAGCAAGCCCTAAACCCTAAACCCTAAACCCTAAACCCTAAACCGGTTCGGTTTAGGATTTGGGTGCTTCACACCTGGGGCTGAGAGATTAGGCTGTCGGGTTTAGGCCTAGGAACTTGGGTTTGGGTTTAGGGTTTAGGGCTTGTTGAATCCTCAAAATCAAATTGAGAATCAAAGTGGGCTTCGAGCCGATGACCTGCGATCTAAAGCAAACTCTATGCATGAGAACTTACGACCTTGCGGTCGTCAAGGTCCGAATAGTCCTTGCTGTTGGTGGCGACTCACTTGTCTCTGGTTGCAGCATGCACATAGAGAAATTCAAAAATCCACTGGAGAATGCCGTGCCCTGCAATGCGGTAGGCATTGGGGATGGACACAGCTTTGGAAAACACCTGAGCGGCAAAACCTCCTGAACATTGTCGGGTTTCTCTACGCCAAATCTTGCGACTCGGTCAATCAATGGAAACCCGTCATGAAAGATAAGTCTCCATACCACTGCTTTGAAGACGAAAACAAGCGTAGGCTTTGGTTCGTGATCCACCCTGCTTGAGACTGCATCTGCATAGAGACAAACTGCTTGCTTTCTCATGGTTGTAATGTTGGACCACGTCCACCCGCACGAGAATCATGTCTCGTTTCTGTTTCAGCAATTGCATGTCGCGCATCTTGAGCCGTCAAGGGGCCATTGCTCCAGCAAGTCATGCAGCCGCTTTCGCCGCTCCTTGCTGACTTGGAAGGACTTCTCGGAGCCAGCAGGTGCCCCAGCGACCCAGTACCTGACAGGGGCTGTAGGGGTTTCGGGGTTTAGTGGTTTAGGTTTAGGGTCTTGGCCTCTAGACAAATACTGAGCTCTGAAACAACTTCGCGGGTTCAGGGTTCATTCGTCGCCCTACCCCTCAAGCTAGAAGCATCGAAGTCCCAGAAGCATGAAATACCGAGGGTGCAGCAATGCGCCGTACTTCTACTTCCCGTGCATCTGTGCTTGAACAGGCTCATAATCCTACTGGCGTACATGATAGCGGCAACGGGAATAATGAACCTGTCGATGATGATGGCAACCATGACAAACCAGCAACATGGACATGAAAACAAAAATGTAGGGAGTCGTGACAACACAAGTAAGAATAATGGCAACAACGATTGCCAGAACTACAACAAACCTTAGAAGCTGCCCCCACCCTGTAATGGTGGTACAATAGGAATGTAATCGGGCCCTAATATATTCCTTATGGTCACTATTACAGGGTGGGGGCAGCTTCTAAAAGAAACCCTAAACCCGGTTCATCTTGAACCACCGAAGCTGGAATCTCGAAACTCTCGCAAGGCTGACACCTAAGACTCATCCAGAATACACACTGGTCTACCGTTTAGGGTTTGAAGTTGAAGGGTTCGGGCTCTAGGGTTTGAAGTTTGGGGTGCCCTTAAAGCCTATCTACTTAAGGAGAAACAGGGGTGGAAGTGTTCTTCAGCCAGGTCTTGCGTGGTCCGGATAAACCCTAGACCCTAGGCTCCTAGACCCGATGCTAAACAGGATCCTACTGCTTCAGCTCAGGTCTTCCTGAGCTACCGCTCTCCACGGAAACTCCCAAACTCTGCCCTAAACCCTAAACTCCAAACTCCTACTAGCCTTGCACGCATTATTATAGAGTAGCCCCGAACCCCGACCCCCAAACTCTACACCAAATCCCAACCTACCTGAACCCCGAATAACTTACCTTTTTAATGCCTTTTGTAAGGAAACCCTATTATGGAAATCTAAGCAGGTAGGTCTCTGAGGGTCCAGGTAGTGCTTCAAGTGGGTGGTTGTCAAAATTATGGTCCCTTTTTGGATCCCTGTTATAATACGGCACCTATTATTTAGGGTACCCAAAAAGGGACAACCCTAAACCCTTCACGCTCAACCCTGAACCCTGAACCCTAAACCCTGAACCCTAATTTTGACAACTACCCAAGTCTTCACAGAAAGATCGGACCTCAACTCCGTCTCGTCCTTCTGTGACCTGGAGGATTTCGATTGAGCTATAGTCACTACTTGGAGGTTCATGGGTAGTTATAAATAGTGCTACAAAACGGGTAACTATACTTATACCACATATTCGGGGACTTATAACCCTACTTATAACTACCCCTGAACCTCCAAGTAGAGTCTGATGGAACCTAATATTATAGCATAGACAAGTATCATACAGTACACCTTAAGTATATGTGTGTATATACGCATATATAGCAAGAATATATTTACATATATATATATATATATATATATATATATATATGTATATATATGTATATATATATATATAGAACTGAGAGAGAGACAAAACGAAAGAAATATCAAAAGAAATCGAAATAGGAAATAGACATACAGATGTGAATGTAGGATAATGAGGGCATGAGGACAACCATGCTCCAACTGTCTGGCTTCTACTATCGGGGTCCAGGGTTTCAGTTTAGATGAGGGGTGAGCCCTAAACGCTGCACTCCAACCTCCGAGATACGCCGCAAAAACAATCCGACCGTACACCCTACAGCGTATGTCGGATCCAGGAAGGTTAGGGTGTGCGGTTTAGGGTTTAGAGCTTCCGTTGCCAGGCCACAGCAGGTATCAATGAGGGCTTCGCGGTTTGGCTTTAGAGTTTGCTGTGATGCTGCGTGCAGCCGTCAACAAAAAGCATGCAACATAGATGTGTCGGCCAAGCCACCCGAACCAACGCCTTTTAGGGTTTAGCGCTGAACAGCCAGGTTTGTCAAAGGTAGAGGGCAAGACGCCTGGCCACGGGGACTCTGGGAGCCTGAGTAGGGCTCATGACGCCGTAACCGCACATCAGCAAACCCTATGCTAAACCCAAAACCCTAAAGCCTAAACCCTAAACCCTAAATCAATCCCTAAACCACGCACCCCGAAGCCCTCAACCAAGCGCGGCCCAGCGACAGTTTGTTCGGCGGGCCTCTGGGTCTCGAACCGAAAGCCGGCGCCTGGATCTACTCGGCAGTGATATGGATATTATAGTATACTATATATATATATGTATATATATATATATATATATATATATGTATATGTATATGTATATATATATGTATGTATATGTATATGTATATGTATATGTATATGTATATGTATATGTATATGTATATGTATATGTATATGTATATGTATATGTATATGTATATGTATATGTATATGTATATGTATATGTATATGTATATGTATATGTATATGTATATGTATATGTATATGTATATGTATATGTATATGTATATGTATGTGTATATATATATGTATATTATCACATCATACTAGACTATATTATGTTATATTGTAGTTTCTTATATTCTGCTGTATTATACCATGTTATCGGAGTTCAGAGCTTTGTGATCTTGGAGCCTGGGCTGGGTTAGTCGGCTACCACGCCGTTCGCTCTGAAGTTTGCAGAACCGGAGTCTAGTCTCCCATGGAGCCCGAGACCCTTTAGTAAGCAGCCTTCCTGAAAGCATAACGTACGGGCCTTGATGATTAGAATCGGGGTTTTGGGGTATACTATAGTATATTTATGCTAGGAAACTTTAAGAATACTATCGTCAAGGGTTTAAGCTTCTATAATAGTAAGAGACCCTGCTATAAACGTGCAGGAGGGATGTGATTCAGGTATCCTGGAAGTAAACCCAAAGCCCAAAATCTTAAAACCCCAGAAACCAAACACCCCAAAAGCCCCAAACCCTAAAAAGCGCAGCACCCCAAACAGCCTCAGAACGCAACACCCCAAAGCCAGAAGAAGTTCAAAACGGGCCCGAAAGCATCTAGTGCTTTTACACACTAGAGCTTGAGCGCTATGGAATTCAACGGTTTAGGGTGTATCCCTAAGGCCCTAAACCCTTCTTCTTGGAGCTTCAAGGCAAGAAGCCTGCAGGGTTGGCAATGCTATTCCCCAAAGTTCGTTATTGTCGTTCCACTCTGATATTTCTTAGAAGGAGCCCCCACTCTGTAATAGTGACTAGAAGCATTATATTTTATATTAGGGCCCTATTATATTCCTATTATACCACTAAGATATTTCACGTCTCTCCAATGCAAAGCTACCTCTTGCTGTTCTTGGACTTGGGGGGATGCTTGCTGTTACGACCATTCCGTGTCGGCATTCTGCTTGTATAAACAAAATCGTTGTCTTACTTTTGCCGTCGATGTTACGACTAGCGCCATGATTGCGCACAAGAAGCCCTGAACCCGTTTCCAACACAAAGAGCCCTTGACAGTTCGAATATGGTTTTGGTGTATGTTGCAAGTAACAAATTAAAGGATAAGTTCATAGTTCTACTGATTCAGCCCTCTGTATTACAAGCTATAGACGGGAAGGAAATGACCAAATCTGTCTCTAGCCGCTTCTCACGCTGTACGATTTGTGACTTTCATTTTCGGGCATGGGGTAAACCCAAATTGGCAAACCCGAAACCCTAAGCCCCAAACCCTGAACCGGAAACCCTAAACCTAGTTCATGATTGGGATAGGACTAGAAAAATGTACATGTTTATTCCTTATTGGGTTTAGGTACCCGTAAACATGTGAAATGTTACTCAACTATGACAAAGAAACAGGCACCAAAATTAAGCAGCAACCTTCAACACTTCGCTAACATCGCCTCAGGAGGGGGTCGACCGTCATCCTCGTCGTTGAACTTGGCCTAAGATTTCACGGCCGGGTCGTTTGGGGCGTCGGATGGCGGGTTTTAGGGAACTTTTTCAAGTTGGTTTCAGACTTAGGGTTCGCAAGTCTTCTCAAGTCTAGGGATGAACCCTAATCCCTGTACCCTTATAGAATCCCTAGAGATCCCTTTAAAGGAACCCTACTTATTTCTACCACTTGAGGACTGAAGCACGGGTTTCACGGGACAGGGTGCTCCCCCTTCATCAAGGTTGGGAGTCGGGGGCTTTCCTAAAGCGAGCAGGAATGCGCATAACTTCCGAATATGGAACCTCTGATTTAATGAAATGGCTTGCCGCAACACGCTGCTGAAAAAGGGAGACACAACAACAATAACAGATACACATATATATATATATATACATATAATACACATATATAGGGGTAAGCTTGTATTTGTATTTTCGTATATATATATATATACATATATATATGTATGTATGTATACGGTTTCAAGAATGCTGCGTTTCTACATGTGAGCGTGCATGTATGCATTGTACTGAGCGAGGGAGGGAGAAAGACAGAGAGAGAGAGAGAGAAAGACAGACGAGCAGCGAGCATCAGAGGTACGAACTTTCGCCCCTCGTCGGTGAGCGCGATCTGGTCTTTTGGGCCTGATTCTGGGTCTTGGGCTGCAGGGCTTCGGGATAAGATTTTGAGCATCTTCAAAGCCAAAACCAAAAAAGATCGGATGGAAGACGCTGGCCATTCACAAGTCGGTGTAACTTTAGTGGAAACCTGTGCGCGTTCGTGCGTGAGGCTCTCGGGGATGCTGTGCCGGGACAAGTTTGTGGGCTCGAAATACAAGTTGGAGTGAGCGCAGAATCCTCGCTACGCTCGGCGTTTTGACTCCAGCATGCACATCCTAGAGGTCTGTCTACCAGACCAGGAAACTCTCATGATCAAACCCCTTCGACAAAACGAGCATTGAATCGTTGCTATCCAATTGCAGCTTCGGGTGAGAGTGTAGCCGTGTCGGCCTGTCGCAGTGAAAGTGTCCCGCAAATTGCCCGGTTGCGCAAACCACCGACACCCTCAAACCTCTAGAGGCTTGAACAACATGATACTACCAAATCGTTTGAAACTCTATCAGTGCCCATGCAAGCCGTCTAAACAATCGAAACATACAATGACATACAAAAGATCTCGCCCTTCGGACGGTCCTGTTCAGGAACGTCGCGGCTGAAACACGGGATTTATGGACGTACTCTGCAACTTGTGGCTATCAATTTTGGACATCTGGGCTTCAATCCATGGTGTACAAGGCTTCGGCGACCGTGCATAAAAGCTACTGTGATGTTCTGCCGTAAGCTGCTTGGTACCATCCAGGATAGTGGATGTCCGGAAGATACTTCAGCCTACTCCACCTGCGGCTTGCCGGAGCTGGGCTTTCAAGGTCGGGGGTCTGATTCTCCTTGCCGACCATGGAAGAGTTGCTCTTCTGCCACTGCACCACTGAACCCCTATGGTGTAGATCCCCACTAGGCAACCCTAAACCCAAAGAACCCGTAAGCTTGTAGACTGAAGTTGCGCTGTAGCTTCAGTCCACAGTCGAGCATTTGGAAGTCCTGGACATGATCTGGCACGGAGCTCAAGTTGTTGGACTACAAGCCCATATATACCTATATACCTATACCTATACATACACCTATACGAAAACGTATGCCTATACCTCTACCGGTACCTATACAAGTACATATACACAGGCACATGCATATACATGGGGTATACATATACATATACATACGAGTATACACATACATATACAGGTACCGATGTGGATACGATACAAATTCGGATACGGGTACAGTGTGCTACATACACAAACATATAAATACATGCAGACAGATACGTACACATATGCATACACGTATACGCATACATAGACACATACAGGTACATATACATATACATATAAATGTACATATACGGGTACCTATACACACGTGCACACGTATGCATGTGTGTATATACATATATATATATATATATATATATATAGATATGTTTAGTTGTTCGTTTATGTATATGCACACCGCTGCAGAAGCATGTTTCCTTAGCTACTGCACTATGAACCCTATAAGACTGATCGCGCTATGGAATCACTTTTTTTGCTGCGGCGACGAATCGACGAAGATCCTTCAGTGTCCTTCAGGTAAGCCCGGCCCCGCCTGGAAAACTTCCTGGGACTCAACATTCAAAACTGGAGTCGGAGAGCATGCTTCAATGACTTCAATGCTTCCGAACGCTGGACTCCTGGACGCCTCGGCCTCGGGCTCATCCTTCTGGGCCTTGCTCTCAACCAAGTTGTTGAATATCGTCTTCAACATCGAATCCTGCTGCTGAACCAGACGACGTGCATCCACCATGATGGCGTAGATCGGAGGCGGCCTTTCGGTCTTGTAATTCCAAAAGTGCGACTCCAGCTCCTCAAGAAAACGAACGGCCGCGCGATGCTTCTTGAGCTGCGCCAAACACCCCTCTGGGCTGCGCAACTCGGTGGGAAACATGCGCAGCTCAGGCCAGTTCACGACCTCACGCCATTCCACACGCGTCAGCTTCTCGAAGTCGGCGCTCTCACCGTCCATCGACAGACACATGCGCATGACCAAGTTGATGGTGGCAGCAGCAGCCCCGATAACGTTCTTCTCAGGGGTCGCACCAGCAATCTTCGCAGCTGTCAGCAGGGATTGCCACACCTCCTCCAACTGGCCTGCACTGCGGCTCATCTCGGTCACAGAGCCGAACTTCTCGAAGAAAGCGATCATCACCGGCATGAGATCGGAATCCGTAAGCACGCCTGTCGTGAGGCACGCCATCTCAGCAGCAGGAAAAAATTGAGCCGTCACAGCTGCCAGCTGCCGTAATTAGCTCGACAATCACTCGTACTTCTAGGTCAAGCTACCACTGCCACTGCCACTCAGCCACTCTTGACTCTTGCCTGCCATCACGGCAAACAAAAAGAAATGAACTGTCCATAAACAACTGACTGGCTCACTTCGGGAAAACAAAGTGCTGCAGTGCTATAGCTATAATAGCTGAGCATCGTCGGAGCAGCATCGCAAGCAAGTCAAGCCTATACTTCGATCTGCTGAGTGTCGATGCTGACGGGCCGTCACGACGAGACAGAGCGGCGTCCACTTCAAGCTCCAGCTCTTCTGAAGTGCTGGCCGCGGCCAGCAGCATTGCAGTGGAAAGTGCTAAGCGGAAGTGGGACGCGTTTCGGAGATGCATCGTCCTGGGATCACTGGGATATTGCCCATCTCGACGCGAGTGACTGAGTGACAACTTCAATAATATGATGGCAGCCGGCAGTGCCGGCACGAAATTGAAGTAACCCTACCTACTCATGGGCGGTCTGACTCTGACGCCTCACGGGCAAAACTGTCAAAGTGAACGGCATCTGTGTCAACTGTCTAAGCTGGGCTGAGCTGACGTTTGCAATTGAAGCTGAAGCCGACTGGCAGCCGACTCAGAACTCAGAAGCCTCGCCGAAAAAATAAAAAAAAAACGGCTGTCAAGCCGTCAAGCAATGCCATGAACTTCAAGCCATGCGTCAGCCTGTTGCATTGAAGCAAATGCAACCAACTGTAGGCTTTTTGCCCTCTGCCAAGGACCACCGTAGGCCCCAACTGAAACTGACCAGCACCAGCAGCGCCGGCATCACCAGCACAGCCGGCTTTCTGCACGGAAGAGACCAAACCAAACAAGAAACTGTACAACATCCCGGGACAGCAGCAGCCTCAAAATCTGAACAGACCCGACTCAATCATCAATATCAGGAATCAGGGTCCGAGGTCCGAGGCCTGCCTGCTTCAAGTCACGTATCTCGCGCATCATCTGGTTGTAGGCACGGAGCTGGCCGGGGAGCGAGAGCATGTGAAGTGTGCAAACGCTTTATCAAGGCCAGCGGCCAGAGGCTACGCATGGAAACTGACCTCAATGTCAACAGAACATCTAGCCAGCAGGCAAGAGCAGGACGAGCACATGGGTCGAATGGGCGCAATGGAGAACTGGTAACGGACAACACGTCTGCATCAACCAACCAAGTGCACACGGAACCTCACGTCACTTCACTCACCTCACCTCATTCATAACATAACATATCCCCTTCTACTTTTGCATGCAGCAGTGCAGCATGCCTGGCGGCCGCCTGCCGCCAGAGCTGCCGGAGAATGCATACATGTGTGAGTAATTCTGTGAATGTGTGAATGTAATGTGACGACGGCCAAAAAGCCAAGAAGCAACACACAGAGTCACAATGTCAGACTCTCAGACTCAGACTATCAGCCAATGAGCCGGAATCAGCCGGGCCGGGCCGGCCTCCTCGGGAGTGCCCTGCTGAATGACCAGCCGCGCCAACTTGGACGCCAGCTCGTAAATGCCCAGCGCTCTGGCAGAGGTGTCTGCAGCGTCCGTCGCCATGGACCGCAGCGGCCTCGCCGCTTCAAGAACGAAACCTGAACCGCTCAACCGTTAAAATTGCCCGATGCCCTAAACCCTTTCCGTGCAAAACCGCCCACTTCGTATAATGCATCTGAAAAACATATTCGCGGCCCAGCAGCTACAGGCTACCACAGCAGTCTCACCGGTGAAGACCGAAGACGACCTGCATGGTGGGAGACAGAGTCACAGGAGTGACACAGGAGTCACGATCGCAATGTTTGGATTCGCCAGTGGTCCAATCGAATCTCTTGACACCAGACTTTAGGCATCCTAAACCCCCAAATATTCAACTGTAACCTGGTAGGTCCTAAACCCGACAACCTGTAAACCTTGTACCGTGCACCCGTTCCATGTTAGTTTCATCAAAGATTTATGTTCAGACGACAGCCTGCAGACCGAACCTTAAGCCCATTCCCAGGATGTCAATGCAGCTTGTACGAGGCGGACGAGGCGAGGGTTATAAGCTTACGACTTCATGCCGGTGCTGCAGACGCCCCGAATGCCCCCTCGCCCAGATTGGACCTTGGTCGGCTGCTTCGCAATTTGGGCGAAAAAGCTTCGAATGGACTGTGCATGTTTGAGTCTTTGTCAATGCTCGTAGCGCTGAAGTATTGGGGTGAAGTGCAGGCGCAGGGTGCATCTACCCGAGGACCCATGACACATGATTCCAATTCCGATTCCCGATCCCGATGCTCCGCTCAAGTGACTGCCGCAGTGCTGCCGCAGTGTCCTCCAGTGCCGCAGGGAAGCATCGCAGACAGATAGTCACAGACAGCGGCAGCGTCGCGTCCGACGCAGTAGACTCGACTCTGGACCTGGATGGAGCCTCAGATCCCGTGTGAGTGTGTTGTTGGTCGCATGATGGCACTGAGCGAGGAGCACAAGGCTGCCTACCCTCAGTTTGCTCCTTTGTTAGACGAAGACTTCGACGACTTCGACGACATCGAGAATAACGAAAGCGTCGCTATGGAAACCACTGAGCCTGAGGATCGCGAAATCGTGTGCCAAGACTCGGGGGTCATGATAATGAACAAAACGTTCAGCGTGCTGCGGACGGGTACGCAGTACGACGTGGAGTGGCCACTTGGAAACATGGGCATGGGCTTGGGCAAGATCTTCAAGCGCAACTCAGCCGGCCCGGACGGTCCGCTTCCGGAGCTCTGGATCG